GCTGCCCGCGCCCTCCTGGTGGGCACAAGAGCGGGGAGGGCAGTAGGGGCAAGCACAGCAGGTGTCCCTGCCGGTGTCCTGCCCCTGTCGTGGTCTCGTGTCGCTTAATTCCCGCGTTGGTACCCTTGTTCGTGCCGCCTGGGATGCCTTGAAGTCTTTCTTGCTCGATACCTGTGAACAATGCTTACCGGGTTTTACCGTTGAGCTGATACGAGGGAAGCTGTCATGAAGTCAGGTCTCATCTCCAGAAACAGCTGTACTGAGAGCAGTGGAAGCTGTCCCGGTGAAAACAAGGTCTCTAGCGAGCTTATCTTGCGTGAGGAAAACTAGATCCCTCTCTAGACTTGTATATTAGAATGATTGCGTCGGTATTTTCAGGAGTGAGTTAAAAGGGAGAAGTATATCACTTCGTGTCTACAAGGCACACAAATGGATGCCAAAGCTTAAAAGATCAGAAAACATTGTTCTTGTATTACAAGTTTTTGCTTGCTTCTGTCTATTCTTCTTCATGGGTCAGTGCAAAAGCTGAGAAGCTCTTTCATCTTTGCTTTCTCATCTTTTCCCCTGCAACGTGCTGAGCTAGCATATTCTCTGATTTGGACATAGAGGATGCAAGCAATGTGGTTTTATTTCTTTCTTGTAGTGGCTTTCAAGTCCACTGCAGTTGTTAATGAGTTTCTCACTAAAAGTAGTTTATGGAAGTATTTTAACAAAGTTTTATGCTTAATGAGAACATCTGAACAGAGAAGATGTAAAAACATCACAGGTGGAAGAATGTACCTATTCATAATTACTAAAGCCATTCTCCTAAAAATATGGTTTTGATTATCAGAAAGACTTTTTTTTTTTTTTGTTTCTCTTGATCTGTAAACCATCAGTTGCAGCAACAGGTGTGGGTGTTTGCAAAATACAGTTGCAGTGTTACCAATTACTAACTTTATAGATTGTTCATGTAGGTCAGTAGACAATTGCACCTATTTTTATTTAACTGTGTTTTGAGATATGGTAAATAGTGTTTGTTTCTAGTAACATATGAAAACGATTTACATGTCTGCAAACCATGAGGAGGACTTAGGTGTGGTGACACGAGACTGTGGTTCTACAACTGTATTAAGGGGGCACATTTCTGACAAGTATCCCTTCTCATCTGCTGCCATTAGAATTCTTGAAGTTGTGGGGTAAGTTGATTAAAGAACTGATTAGTCTGAGAAATAATTGTGTTGTTTCATTTCCTTTTGTTGAGTGGTCACCCTAGTACTCATGTAGGTACCAAGGGGGGTGAATAATGTGTCAGTCAAAGCTGAATGAAGTGTGAGACTTCCCTTTAGTGGCAGCGTGTGGGTACGCCAATTTAAAGTGGTTGTGGAATCACAGCCTGAGGGTCTTCATCTGCTCTGATAGTCAGAATTTCTAAGCATCATAGAATTCTGCTTGTCAACTTCAGCAAACGCTACAGGCTATTTCAAACTTGATATTTCTTGCCTGTTTATTTTCAAGATAATTCCCATTTTGAATGGCAGAAATAGGAAGGCTTGAAAATATTGCGCAATGTAGTTTGTTTGGATTTACATCTTTCCTGAAGGCTGTCAGCAGTCAAGGACACTTCAGATAGTCTTTTTACAGTTTTAGTGGGAAATTGATGTACATAGGTGAACAAATTATTTTGTCAGCATGATTCAGTTTTTACCTTAAGGTGCCTTGACAGTGATATTATTTAGATGATTGTGACTTTCTCTTTGGAACATCTGTCTCTTTTAATCCTGGTTTATTCAGACTTTTCAGAAAAAGTCACAAAACACTCCTGCCTTACTTCTTGTAGAGCTGAATGGTTTGGAATGAGTGAGGTGAGGGACAGCAGAAAGGGAAAGGAGGTTGAATGCTGCACTGGGAAATGAAATTAAATGTCGTCTTATGCAGTCATCTAGGGTACAAAGCAAGGCCTTAAAACAAACTTTTCACAGGTCTCTATTGACTTTGTTTTATTTTTCTGTTATCTCATTTGGGATGATTCATTTTTAATTGCGGAGTGCTGAGCACTTACAACTGTAATTATGACCGCTGGAAGATGAATCCTGTGATGAACATGGAAAGTTGTGTTAAATTCAAGACATTGATAAAACTGGCATGGATTTCTGAAGTTGGAACCCCAAATTAGCTTTAATTTTAGTTCTTGTTAGTATTCTCATTGACCTGTATTGAATTTCCCAAGAATAATTTTTTTTTTTTGGAGGGGGAAAATAACAGATATTTGTAAAGGACACATGCAAGGAACTGACAATGCCAGAGAAGAGAGTGGTGTGGAAATCAAGCAGTCTGTGTATCATTCAGTGTAGTGATGTGATTGTATACAATGCACTGTTTGGGAACCCTGAAATATATAACGAGAATAAAAGGAATTACTGAGTAGTTGATCAGTGAAAATATGAACGAGGCAGTGGTTGTGGAAGAGGTTGTAGGGGAGGACTCATGCAGTCATTTTGTAAATACAGGCAGACTGAACTTTTCCTTTTCTCCGGTAGACAAGTACTGCCTATCTTCTGAAATGTATCAAATGTATCACTTGATTCTGTGGGGTTTTTTAATTGCCACGTGATGTTTTGAGATTTCCCCAACAACCTCTTCCGCTGCCCCCCGAAAGTTTGCTGAGTGTGCAACAAAATCCAAACCTGAGTGGGTGTCTTGTCAGCAAGGAAGTTATGTACATTTTATTTCTGGAATGCTCTGGCAAAGGAGAACTTGAAGTTGTTTTCCCAAATGGGAATGAATTAAAAAAGAAATATAGCAGATCTGGTAGCCATTGCTGTTGATGAGGTGATAGGAATATATTATAAAAATTAAAATTCAGGTCTTCAGAGCATAATAGTAAATCAGCTTTGTGAAGGGATTAAGATGTGTGGAATAGGAGCCTGTGGTTTAGACTCAGGGGTGGACACTAAGAATACTCAAAAGAATTCTGAAGAGGTATAAGCAATTTTTGGAAATGTTTTTACTGGGAACTTTTCTTAATCCAAAACTTTAACAAGCTCTGCTTTTAACCTCCCTAGGAAATTGCAGCTCTCCCCGAGGTACTATGATAGCTGTAAAAATTAATTTATACTCTTGCTTATTTTACTGTAATGCCTTATTATTTCCTGATTGATCAACCTGAATTTGGAACATTATCTATTAGTACAGCTATGTTGGCTTCTTCCATGCTGTGAGATGACAGCCTGATTACTTGAAACACTATTTCTGGATTGCAAACTTTGCATAGAAAACTGCTAATCTTTACTTCAATAACTTAAATTTGTGAGCCCAGATATTTTTTTTTTTAACATGGGCATACTCTGGAATTTTGATAAATTTGTATGTCTTTCAGGTTTTGCTGCTCTATAACTTGGAGTGAGAGGTCTGAATATTTCAGTTAACAAGTAATGATCTGCTCTATGTATTCTATAATGAAGGAAGAGGAAATTCATTTATTACCTACTGTAATGCTCAGTTTGTGCTGCTCTAATATTTTCACATGAAAAGTGTAAGCATGAGTGCTTATTGTGAAGATTTGTGTGTGATGCCTTCCTTATTGGTTATCTTTCTTGTCTTCTCAGTTTAATCCCTTTTTCCTACTTTCTTATTGGCAAATAATTTTACCTCTTCTTATAGCTAAGAATATACATCCTATGTTGTTTTGTATTTCTTTTTTCTGTGTTTGGAGAGTGCTTTCATTTATATAGTGAGTGTAGTTTTTCTTCTCTGCCTTAAGTAGAGCAGGACAGCTGGAAAGGCTATGTGAGACGGTTTGGAGTAGAGGTGGTGATCTGAGTGGCTGTATAACCTAGTACAAATTGACGTAAAAAGAGTTTTTTTTTTCTTCAGAAGTTCTTTGTTTTTTGTAATATTTCTGAAACCTTCATGAGCTGTCTTTATGTAGCTTAGCAGTTATATATTAGCATAGTATGTTGGACACCAATTGCTTCGACTTATTCTGGGCATTACAGATCAATCTGGCATTCATTTGGCATAGAAAGAATGATTTATAATACCTTACAGGAGAACATAATCGGAAGTCCATGTCTTTTGTTACTACCCAAAGATCAAGGCAAAGCTGGATCAATAGACAATCTATAGTACGTTTTGTTTATTACATTTTGGCACTTAAAATATTTGGCTTTATAGCCTCTTTTAGCTTATGCAGTTAAATTACTCACTGTATGAAGTTGCGAATAATAGAACATACATAAGGAACTTGTACGCTAGCAGGCAACTTACCTATATTCACTGAGTAAATTTATGAATGTTGTGTTTTAAGTTAAAATGTGTTTCACCATTATTGTAATTGCAGCCAAGAGGCAACAGAAAACATGGTGCATCATTTATCATCACTAGAGCAATTACAGGTAAATATGACTTGTTCTTATGTTCATGACTCATAAGAATGATGTGTGGATTGCTTGTAAAACTTACAATTTCTGCACTTTAGCGTGGCTAGTGTAATGGAAATAGAGGGCAGGATGTGTTTTCAGGAAGATGTTTTCTGATTATCAATATTGCTATGTTATTTTTATGTCATTTTTGTGAGCTTTCTTGTCTCTATTAGCTTATTGGGACAAACTAATAAACCATACATCTAAGAAGTTTAGAAGCTCTGCTGTGTTTTGCAAAATGTTGTTTATGTTTTTTTCTCAACCAGCTCTTGCATTGGGCCGTTTGCTAGTTAGTTCTATAAGGAAGCTTTACATTATGGTCATATTACATTGCCATTCAATGCTTTGTTTATGCAGTAACTGAATTGCATTTTCATCCAGTAGGGATTTCTCTTAGAATTTCCAGAAATGTGTCATGATTTTTTTTGATCTGCCATTTGCATTTACTCTAATATAAGAATTCATTGGCCAAGGGTAGAAGGTTTTTCCCTAAATACCTTTTTCTTTTGTGAGAATTTCTGAGACTCTGTGTGCAGTAAGCTGGAGAGTGTTTTAAAACCACTAGAGATGTAATTTTTGCCTCTTTTTCCATTGTAGGTCCTGCATTGTTTTTGCTTCGATACATCTGGTACAGGTAGGTTTGATGAAAATAGTGCTTAATCTTTTTAATTTGGTAATTTTTTATAGCTTTTTGATTTGATGGAAAGTTATTTTTAATGAGAGTAAAATTGAACACTTGTTTAGAATTGTCCAAGCAATGCTTAGAATATTCTCTTTTCATAAGTTTAAGTTGTAACCACTTCAGTTGCAGCTGAAGCCTATCTAGAAAAGAGGTGGTGTATATTAGTTTGACGTTTTGCTTTTATCAGAAGCCTAAGTAAACTTGCAGTTGGAACATCATCTTTCTCAAAACATATTTGTCCTCCCCGCTCTCAACTGAGATACTGCAAGTGAAGCTGTGTAGTGTTGGTTTTTTTTTTTTTTTTTTTTTTTTTTTTTTTTTCCCCTCCCCTTTTTTCCTTAAGCCTCAATGACAGGTATGATGGCATGGCAGGATTTGCTTCCTAATAATTTGGATTTTTTTTTTTCTTGACAATTCAAACTGCCATACAAAAAGCTTGATAACTAGTTGAGCGACACTCCTGCCATTTATAAATTTAACTTCTGATTCAAAAGGCATGTAAATTGTCCTGGATATATATTGGGGTAAGTACAGTGTTCCTGGAGAATTTCAGCTCTATGGTTATACTACTCTGTTGATGTACTTGGCAGGTTTGAAGATATCAGTTCTCCCTTTTCAGAATCACAGAATCATTAAGGTTGGAAAAGACCTCCAAGATCATTGAGTCCAGCCGTTAACCCAACACCACCATGCCCACTAAACCATGTCCCTAAGCGCCTCATCTACACTTCTTTTAAATACTTCCAGGGATGGTGACTCAACTACTTCCTTGGGCAGCCTGTTCCAAGGCCTGACCACTCTTTCAGTAAAGAAGTTTTTCCTAATGTCCAGTCTAAACCTCCCTTGGCGCAACTTGAGGCCATTTCCTCTCGTCCTATCGCTGGTTACTTGGCAGAAGAGACCAACCCCCACCTCGCTACAACCTCCTTTCAGGTAGTTGTAGAGCGCGATGAGGTCTCCCCTCAGCCTCCTCTTCTCCAGACTTTTTAGGGGTATTCTGTTGGTTTTGAGATATATAGAAAGGGATATTAAAGTGGCTCCCTGTGAAACAATGCTATACTTGAATTCAGCAGGCAATGCTGTTTTCCCTATTGCTGGTGTTCTACTTTATTTTGTGCTGTGTCCCCCCTCCCCTCCCCCCTTTTTTGGGGTGGGGGGTGGTGTTTATGGGCTGCATACCATCATATAAGTCTAGTTGTAAGGATTCAGACAGAATTAACTTATTTTTCTTCCCTCCCTCCAAGTAGTCATATTTAAAGTCTGATTTCTAGCGTTTATAATTGATTCTAACTGCTATTTTTATGTGTTCAGTAAAAGCGTTTGGGAGGGAGCTCGGGAGGCCTCTAGTTTAAAGTCCTGCTAAAAGCAGGGAGAACTTTGAATTTAGACTAAGTTCCTTAGGGCTCTGTCCAGCTAGGTCTTGAAAAGCTTAAAGGATGGAGATCCCAGAGACTCTCTGGGCAGCCTGTTCCAGTGCCTGACTGTCTTTATGGTGAAGAATTCTCTTCCTTATGTCAGCTTGGAACCTCCTCTATTTTAGAATCATAGAATCATTTAGGTTGGAAAGGACCCTTAAGATCATCGAGTCCAACCGTTAACCTAACACTGCCAAGTCAACCAAAGGATTGATCACAGTTTCTCATGCTCTTGCCATGCACCTCACTGGCTCCCATCTTCCTGGTAACCTCCTAGGTATTGGAGAGCTGCTGTTTGGTCCCCCTGAAGCCTTCCCTTCTCCAGGCTAAACAAGTACAATTCCCTCAGCATGTTCTTGTAGGGCAAGTGCTCTAGTCCCCTGACCATCTTGGTGGCCCTCTGGTTTATTGGTGGTGTTCTTGTAATGGGGAGGGCCCAAACTAGCTGCTGACCGGAGTATAAAGAGTGATGAGTAAATAATCAGTTCCCTTAATATGTAGTTTTGTTCTGTTAATACAAACAAGGATGTTGTTAGCCTTCATCGTTGGCAGGGTGCAGTGTTGATTCACGTTTCGTTGCTAAAACCTCCCAGGTGATTGATGGTTACCTTAAAGCTAAGTCGTCTGGCATGTGTATCTCAGGTACTGCTTTTCTTAGGTGTACATTCTGATTTAGCCTAATGTTTTTGTTATTTCAGCCCTGCAAAGTTTTCTTTGCCCACTGGACTAGTTCGTCTAGTTAGTAAGCAGATCAACTGGCACCTAGTACTTGCAAGGTAACCAGCTTACATGGTTTTACGTTTTTGGCAGTAGTGAATGTATTAATGTTTCCCCTCCTCCCCCTGCCATCCCCATTGGTGAGAATGCTGAGTTAATACTATGCTAAAGTCATATTATTCTTTTTGGTCAAGAGAAATACTGGAGGCTTTTACAAGTAGCCTTGGGAAAAAAAGGTTAGTCTGCTACCTAGGGGCTTCCACGCTGCTTCCCTTAATTTAATGCATCTCTCACTCAGGTCTGAATGTCCTTCTACCTTTTGAGGCAAAGTGGCTTGCAGTGCAATCGTTCTCAAACTCAAGTCCTGAATTTGATCAGTTAGAGACCTACTACTTGGCAGGATATGTAATATAAACTGCTTATTTCAAAATTTGTGGAAAGGGAACGCATACCTTCAAGACTTGTCTGCTATTGTATGTTTAGAGGAGAAGTGAGAGTTCCAAGGCTAGAACCAGCTGTTCTGCTGTAATTTTAGCAGCATCAGTGAGATCACTGGCTTTTAAAAATAAGCATAAATATGTACAGCAAAATGGTTCAGTGACGTGAAGGTAGTAGGGAATGTTTTAGTTTATTATGTATTATCGCTGAATATGATCAGTTTTTTCTCTACTGTTGAGAGAAATGGTGATTCTTTGAGGGAAGTGATGATCTCTTTTGATGCACAACGTGCCAGTTGCAATGTTGTATGTTAGGTACAAAGACAGAAGACCTGCTCCTAAGGAGATGACGTAACTTACTGAAGAATGATAGTTGTTTATTCTAGATAAAGCAATACATAGTTTTAGATATTGCTGTTATAAAATTATCTATAGCAAAATTTGATTCTGGCCTCCCCTGCAGCAAGATTTTAGACGTTGTTTCTGTTTTCTTAGTGCTACTAGAAAAGAATGAGAGATACATTTCAGTGACATGAAGGGAATCTTATTATAGCACTGATTTTTTTTTTTTTTTTTTTTTTTGGTATAAAAATTGATATTTCCCAGTTTGTTTTGATTTATGAAAGAGGAAATTTATATTTAACCTTGCAGAAAGCACCTAGAGCTCTGATGCACATTCTGTAAGGACTGGACTTTAAATGAACTTTCACGCCTTTATTTTTCTCTTTCAGCAATGGTAAATTGTTGGCAGTTGTTCAAGACCAATGCGTAGAAATCAGGTAACTTAGTATTATCTATTGCTTCATGACCACAGTTGTGGAGTTCTGAGAAAGTGTTTCTAGTCATTTACTAACAGTACTTTTAAAGATTTTTCTGGGTTTTTTGGGAATGTTATGTGTTGTGAAAGTAATCTATGGAATAATCTTAAAATACATTATCACTTAGAAAGCAGAAGCCTTCTTTTTCTTCTTAGTTCTTGGCCATTCCCCATTTAAAAAAAACAAACCAAACCAAAACACCCCCCCTCAAAACGCTCCACAAATATTAATGTTATAGATAAATTTATGTAAATATCTATCTGTATCTCTCTTTCTCTTTTTTGTTCAAGATGTGAAAGAAAAACAATCAGGATGCAACCCAAATCATGGTCTTTCTAACCTTTGCTTTTCTGTTTCCCTTTAAAGTCATCACGAGCGAATAGAAATTCTTTCCTAAGAAATGGGACAAGGAGCTAGTATTCTGCTTCTCTGTAGAGTAGCTGGCATGCATGATACTTCACCTTATTTTACGAGTAATGTGGATTGCCGTAAAGACTGATGCTTTCCCTTTTTCTTCTGCTCTCTTACAAGCTCTCCTTTGCCAGTTCAGGAACACATTTAGCTGTAGAACGGGTCTTGATTGAGTGTGTTTACTTGCTTCACAAAAATCCATTTGCTAGAAGGTCAGACCTTCTATTTATATGTAAAAGAAGCAAGTGTATGAAAATTGTTCAATCAGAAGTGTGTGAACACCATAAATGTCAGCTTATAGACTATAAAATAAATCTTGTGTTTCAACTGTATTAATGTAACTATATTCTTGCATTGTTTCTAAAATTGTAACCTAGAGAATACTGACTAGGTTTTTTTTTCTCCTGAAGTTACATGCTGAAGTTCTGAAATGTTGCTATTCTATTTTGAACAGCATTACTACTAAATGAGGGATATTAGTATTTATGTGTTGGGAGGAGGGTTTGTAAAATACTATTGTTAGTATTGTAGCTGCCTAAGGGCTACTATCTGCCATTTTGAACAAGTAGTTAAATACATGCAGGCCTTTGAATTGTGCACTTAGAATATTTTTATAGTGTTCTGTTTATTCTGGAAAATTGAATAGTGTTTTTTTCCTTATTTAAATCCATAATGAGTCTTTTTCTGCAGGTCTGCAAAAGATGACTTTGGATCCATAGTTGGAAAATGTCAAGGTATACAATATAGCAACCTCTACATCATTATTTAGTGTCATCAGTGTTTATTATTCATGCATTGCTAAATGGTGATGTCGGTTTACTTTAAAGATAATGTTTTAACTTCTTAAAAGCATTGGGAAGAATCTTTTAATAATTTTGCTTTGTGAATAGTTCCATTGCCCTCCCTCCCCCTCTCTTCATTTCATGATGATTAACATACAAAACCTGAATCTGAAATGACATAATCATTAAAATTAATGGGTTTAGGAGACGTAGCAGGTGTTGGAGGTGGTGGGTTTTTTTTTCTCCTCTGAGATAGGCTTGTAATGATGGTAGACACCCTGCATTTTTTGATGCAATTGACTTTGTGTTTTGTTTAAGGGAATATATTTATATTTCATTTTTTAGTAACTTTCTTCCTTTTTCAGTGCCAAAGGATCCTAACCCTCAGTGGAGGCGAGTGGCGTGGAGTCATGATTGTACGTTACTTGCTTATGCTGAAAGCACTGGAACAGTGAGAGTGTTTGACCTAATGGGTAGCGAGCTTTTGGTCATTTCACCGGTAAGTGCTCTCTTAGATTAAATATGAATGTAGTAGAACTTTTTGTGAGGATAAAAGCTAATTTCCACTCTTTGGCCTTTTTTGAATCATTGCTTACTTTGGTATGAAGGCTTACAGTATGAATACCATGCACAAATGTACCATGAAGTTTATCATATGATTGGATATATTATAGTTAAGCTTAAGTCATGTGTGTAGCACTTTCAAAGCATATAGTTTGTGCTGATGTATCTAGTCAGAAACTTCATCTTTCTTTTCTTTTTCTTAGAAATGTGGTAGATCTGCAGGTACATCAGATTGTGAAAGAATAGAATCACCTACTTAGTTTGCATGCAAATAATTACAATTTGAAGTAGTAGATTACAAATCTGCAGTTTGTATGCAGAATCACTTATAAATCAAGAAATATCACTGAAAGAGCAATATGAGGATTTTTTTTTTTCCTTGGTATGAGAGTAGATAATTGCTATTGGCTTGCCCCACACAATGTATTTTATATTTTGCATATTTAAAGGTAGTATGAAACTAATTTGGGGAGGTGGCTCAAGGTGTTTCCTTAGTATATTGTCTTTGCAGACTTGAAAGTAATAAGATTTCTTTAAAATCAGGATAAAAGGAAGTGTATTTTGTTACTAATACAAACTATGAAACTTTATTTTTTTAATACATTTTTATACAATATAGTAAATTTAACTTCCTAGTTCTTTCAGTAACTAGGACACTTTCTTCTTTTTCTTTTTTTTTTTTTTTTTTTTTTTTTAATCCCCTTTCTCTCTCAATGTCTTGTCTGCATTTTTGGGTAAAGACAGCAAGTTTTCCAGGAGATCTGAGTTATGCTATTGCTGGATTGATCTTTCTGGAATATAAAGCAAGTGCCCAATGGTCAGCTGAACTGCTTGTCGTTAATTATCGTGGAGAACTGAGAAGTTATCTTGTAAGGTAAGCATAAACTTTGACTTGCTTTGAGAAGGCACTGTGAACTTCAAAGGAATTCTTTCCACTCTTTAAAGAAAATAAAACTGAAATAAATTTTTTTTTTTTCCCCCTCCCCCCATACTTAGTGTTGGAACGAATCAAAGCTTTCAAGAAAGTCATAGTTTCAGCTTCAGCAGCCATTATGTCCATGGAATAACTACTGTCATTTATCATCCTCGTCACAGGTAAGCGTTCTGTTTGCTACTTGCCAATAATATGGAAATGATGAACAGAAGTGGCAAAATAAACATTGACGTGTGTTGCATAAGGAGGGGGAGAAAAAAAAAAATCTATTTTAATATTGGTATTTCGTGAATCAGTAATAAGAAGTCATATATCATTGTACCTATGAAAGAAGCCCTAGTTGGTGATCTCACTTTACTAATCGAATAATGAAAATCAAGTTGTGTCCTTTACTGTTTGAGTACCTTGCATAAGCAAAATTTTTTAGAATGTCAGGAATAGTTTCAAAAGATGTTTCCGAATTTGATGGGGATAAGGGCTGATGTATAGTTAATTTGTTTTTTTTTCTGTCTGGCTTTGATTGCTGGACTCCTCGGCCAGCCCATTTTTCCTAGTGTTCTGACTGGAACTGCCAGACTTTGGTATTTGGAGTTGTCTTGTGATGCATTTTCTCTATTAGTAACATATTGGGTACAGATACCAGACTTGAAAGATGGACTAATTGACTGCCTTGCTCTTGAACCAGATGTAGTTGGAATAAGTCCTTGTTAGCCAATTACTTGTGTTTAAAAATGTGTCTACCGTTTTAATATCTACTTGTTATATAGCAGGGTAAACTCAGCAACTTATTTTTCTATTTCTCTTCGGTTGTAGGAATTAAAGTTCCTTCTAGATATTTTTCTTCTATTAGATCTACTAGGATTGAATTTGTCAGCGCAATACGTCATATCACTGTATTGTGAAAAATAGGCTTGGCTATAGAATACCAGAAGAAACTCACTGTTTAAAAACTTGTTCTCATTCTTCAATGTTAAGTGAGCTGTCCTATCTATCTTGGGTTAAAAAATGGTTATTAATGAGAAGTAATGTTCTTCTAGCTTACTACTTTGAGAGATTAATTTTGAGTATGGTTTCTTCTTTCTACCTAGTTCATATCTAGTAATTCCACATAATTAATACTCAGTATACTAAATCTAGAGTTTTGAGGTAGTAGGTGTGGGTTTATGGAGCTTTGCTAGTGCTATCTGACCAGACAACAGAACCTACTCATTCTTTCATTTGAGCAGACCAGGGTTAATGGTTCTAAGCACTTGTTTCCAAAGTTATCTTTTCTGCTCCTAATATTAGGAGGTTGCAACAGTGAGTGTTGCAAAGAATATTGGTTAATATTCAAAGTATGGTCAAATAATTATTCTGATAATATGATAGATGGATGTGCTTGCTTTTCAGTTTTGGTGTGTTTCTGAGCAAATGATGTCCGAACTGTTAAACTCTTTTAATGGATGAACCCATTAACAAGAAAATATGTAGAAAATCAGCTGGTGTAGTTGTCAACCAAACAGTATGGACGTTGCTTTGTGTGTGCTAATGGCAAGTTACAGTGCAATTAAATAGTGCTTAAGAACTTTATATGCTTAATTTTTTCAATTAGCTGTTTAAAAGGTGGTGGTGGGGGGAAGGCAAAAATTTCAAGTTTTGTTTTCCTTCTTTCCTTCCACCTCCAAGAGAAGTAATAGCTTTGATTTTCCTACTATTCTTATAAGAACTTAGGTTAAAGTTTTTAAAACTTGATAATAGTGTGAAGTAAAAGAGCAGAAGACAATGCTGGTTTTGTGCTTAGAACAGTTTATTCAGAATATTAGTAATTAAAGTTATTTTTTATTGAAGCCTATGGCTGGCACAATTTTTTTTTTTTTTTTTGTGGCCTGTATTACATACTTTCTAGGGAGAGAAATGCTCTTTCCTTATGTGAAAAGATGTGGTTATATCTGCTGCTGAAATAATAAGTTTGTGTAATGTGTGTGGCATACACATTCAGGAATTACTTGTTTTTACCATGAAATATTATGACTCCTTCCATGAAAATAAAAAGTCAGGTGGAGTCCCCTGTGATTATAGTATCTCCTGCTATGTGCAGTCAGTTGACTTGCTCAGTAAAGTTGAAAAATAGACACTTGAAAGAATGCGCAATTGGATGGAATGGATGGAAAGCAGAAAGAACTGATATTTTGCTCTTCATGTAGGGAAGTCTTTTCTGTTTTGAATTTACTCTGGTAGAATACTTCTAAATTTGGCGTTAGAGAACTCTCAATTCATGAGCAGAGTCTCTTCCTGAAATTGTCTTGTTATCAGAAAAAAAACCCAGAAGGAGTTGAAGGGGGGCAGTTTTCTTAAATTGTGCATTTCTTGAATTGTAGATACATATGAACACTTTAAAGTTTTCATTTTCAATAATGTGAACTTTGATCACTTAATGTAAGTTCAGCTTTGTCACTTTGTTCTTTCTTGCATTTAATTTAGTTTCAGATGGTGAAGTTACACTGGTCTATTTCCACTGCTTGTAAGCCTTGACTTGCTGCACTCTATATTGCTATGTATTTGCTCATTACCTATTACAGTGCAATTAAATAGTGCTTAAGAACTTAATATGCTTAATTTTTTCAACTAGATGTATGATAATTGCAGAGAGAATATTTCAGCAGGGAATATATCTGAATCTGTAGGAAAACTTGAAACAATAGCTTTGGGAAAAAGTCTAATAATGAGTTTCACTGCTGTTGAAAAGTGTTATATACCTTAATTTAGATGCCTAATATTGGTGTTCTCATGTGATCCAGCCTTCATCTCTGATGGAATTTATGGTGCACTTTAGTTGGCAAAAATGTCTGCTTCAGTGTGAGCTCTCTGTAGGCTCTAATGGAAGGTTCAACACCGTGCTTATTTTGAGTGTCTTGCTTTGGAGCTGAATGTCTTACTTCAGGGTTATCTGCAATTGCTACAGAAAATGTTTGATATTACAGCCTAAAATGTGTGATGGCTATAGGAGATGAAAGGTTTTAGATTCAGTTGCAATTTGCTTGTTGTACCAAAATCGATGAGTGAAGAATTGCATAGAAGTCTCAAGTTTTTCTTGGATGCCTCAATTGAACTTGCTGTTTTTGAGACTGGTATTATGCTTGTTATCTTCAGCCCAACTTCGTAGAAACCTTTGAAATAGAGTACAGTTGAGGTACTGCAAGGGCCGCAACTTTTTTGAGACTGAAGGAACCTCTGGAGATCATCTAATCCATTCCCCTTTACAGCAGGGTCAACAAGAGCAGGTTGCTTGGAGCCGTGTCCCTGCATTCCAAGACCTGCACATCTCTGTCCTCCTGCAGGAGCGTTGTCTGAGTCAAGGCCTCTGATGTTCTGGGGTAGCTGCTCCAGTGGATGCTGGGGACTGAGCCTGGCGATGCATGACCACAGTTGCTGAGAATGTGTACAGCGAGTTTCTGGCCATCGTTTTCTGCAAACTGCTGCACAAAATGCTGCATCTGTTGGCTGTGCTCTAGGCCTGGCACTTACATTAGGTCTTTTTCTAGGACATGTTGAAAGGGTTCCTGACCCTTACTAATCATGAGTCAGCTGGAACAAAAGCTCAAAGCACCCTTTGATGAGGAACAGCTGGTGGACCTTGTAAAAGCTTCTAGAGCTTGCTATCTAGCTCTTCCTGGAAATGGCAGGCATTGTCAAGTTCCTCAAAGGTTTCCCAGGAGTCCTCTGATGATCCACAGAAGTATGTAGAAGATTAAGAGGATCTAGAAATGGAGCCCAGAAACTGCTGCATAAGCTGCTGCATGCTAGCTGTGCTCTGTGTAGAAAACACGTGCAAGAATAAAAATTGTTTAAGACTTTAACATTTTAAGTACTGAAGGATGTTGCATTGATCTTGATGTCCATAACAGTGTGATAGACAAAACTTTCCCTTCTAGGGAGTTACTATTAGGTGTCATATATTAACGTTGCTTTGTGACCCATCTGGAGTGCTATAAAACTACAGCTGATACGGTGTGATTTAAGAACCCAAGTATTTGGCCAGGAAAAGTAACTTTTCACATTACTGGGACAAAAAAAGTTGTTGGCATGGTATCTTCTTCTTCAGACGGAGACTAACTTTAAAAAAAAAAACAAACCACAAAAAACCAACAAAACAGTAAACAGGAAAAAAACCTGTCCTGTTGCTGTTACCACTTTACCTATGAACTTGTTGTTTTGGAGTCATCTACTCTCTAGTCCTGAAAAAATAATTGGTACATAAGGCCAGATCTTTGCTGAGGCTCTCAGGAGTACCTTTCATTTTCTTTTGATGCCAGTTGTGTTATTCATCTTAATAGTTTCTGTCCCTGCTGTTGCATTTTGCTCTCTGAAAAGCTTTTTAGAATTTTTAGTACATGCTGCCATGATGAATTTCTCTGCAGTCCTGGGAGAAGGCTTTTTGTTTTGAGGTTGTGTCTTGTGTGTGTCTAAACTGATATGACATCTTCATTCCAGCTGTCATTGAGTTTCATTTATCCTAAAAGATATTCTGAATTATAAATATGTTGCACTGTATGTGACAGTTTTTTCCAAAATTTGTTTGAAACGATTTATCTTGATGGAATTTTTGAGAGCTCGTCCAGGCAGTTTTGGAGCTACTGCTGTCACTATTATTGACAATTCTTCTCTTGGTCTTTGTGCTACTATTTGTCTCTTAGTCACCTCTGGAACAGTGCAGTCAATTGTAATAGTCACTGCTGCTGTTGAAATTTTTAATTCAGTGGCATGTTGCAATGGAATCTGGAGCTTATGGGAGAATTCAGGTGCCTATGGATGGACAAGACTGTAGATAAATTAATATTCCAGAAGATTATGCCTGCTGTCTCTTGGTTATTAGGAATTGACAGCTGTGTTGTAGCGATTTAATAAAGTTCTTGTTCACTGATTTGTAATTTTTTTTTTTAAAGCTTTCCTCATGGTCAGGCTGTGAAAGAGACACATGTGAAACTTGCTTTCTGTGCTAAAAAAAGTTAGGAAATTAATCACTTTATGTGTAATGATTGACCTTGCCAACATCTTTTAGAGGTTTAAGATGTGATTTCATGTTCACTGATATTAGACGCTGTGCTGATATGTGAGGACCCTAATATGTTTATTTTTGACTAGCTAAAATGGACATAAACTGCATCATGTACAACAGAGTAGATAAATATTTTGCTCTAAATCCTATTTGTTACAAGGAATTTCTTGTGGCGTGCTATGTCTCTGCTGAAAGTTCATTTGTTTGGTAGAGGTATGTGCTGCAAGATACTTTAAAACTTGTTACTTCCTTGTTTTTAAGTGAAGTTCCTCAGAAGAGCTATGTAGTGTGTCTAAAAGACGGCTTTTCTTGGGGGCAGCTTTTATGTTCTTTGATAAGCGGCAGTGTGTCAAGCTTCTCCAGTAGAACAGTTGTAGGCAGAGGAAAATTGCAGAACGGAAACGTCAGGGAGAAGGAAAATAAAAAATACGCAGAAGGGAAACAAACAAATGGATTATTAAGTGTATGACACTTAATCTGTGAAACTTTTCTCTTCTGAGGTGCACTTTTCCCCAGTAATCAGCAGAAAATTTGATATTAAAATATTTTGTGTTCTGAGAACTGCATTGTTTATTGGTGACTGTACCTCACATGTTACTGTTTTCCACGTTTCTGAAGGATTGATGTTCTTCTCTCCATGCCTTCCTCAGTTTAAGTCACTTTCTTCATGAAAGAATAACAAACTGTTCAAGTAGTTTCTAGTGTTTGTTTATGTCCCAAAGTTGAATGAAATTAAACTTTCTATGTTGTCCTCAGTTGCCTGAGTATGGAATTGCTTAAATATTCTGGTTTTCAATGTTTGCCATTCCATTATTGTTATTTCTAACCAACCCCTATAGTCTTTGAGAGTCCTGGTACCAGAGACATCCTCAGATCGAGCTCATGCTTAATATGACTTGCAGAACAAAGTACTCTTATCTAGTATTTTGGGTTAAAGTGGTGTCTTGGTAAGTTCCTCTGAGTTCCTGTCCAAATATTTACTTGAGAACTGTCCAACCAATTGACCGGAATGAACAACCAGTATCAAAACCAAACAGTTGGTGTTGATTGGAAACGGTTAAAATATAAAGCAACTTGGGTTCATTTAAGATGTAAAGTTTGTCACATAAAAGGCTTAATGCAGTCTTATATTACTAGCTTGTTCAGAAAAAGAGGTATGCACTGTAGGAGTTCTTTGGTATTTTAACACCGGGATTGCTGTGCTCACTGAGCAACAATCTCTGTTTAACAAGTAGTATTTATGGTGAAACAACTTCTGTGATCTACACAATGCTGAAGTACAGTCCTCCTTTGCTGCTCTGTCTGTGTTGGAGTTCTCTCATGGATTGTCTAATACGATGCTTTGCTAATCGTTGTCATCTTCATAACACAATGCTTTGCTAAGTAACTATGGGAAAGCTATGACAGGTGAATTTTATGTCTGCTTTTTTCCTATGTTATTGCTACAAAAAATGTATGCTAATTACTCAAGAAGTATGTTTGCTTCCACATGCTCTTCAGGTTACCAGTTTTAAGGAGTCTGAAATATGATCTGCGCTACTCATGCTAGATTTCCTTGACTCTGATAGGAATGTTTGTTCCTTAAATGATAACATGGTTTCTTCTTGTTATGCTACAGCAAGAAACCACTGCGTCATGGATGTTCAGTCAGAAACTTTACATATTCTAAATTTAAACAGCACCTCCTTAAGGGAGAAGTAATTCCTCTTAGCTGTGCTGTGCTTTACTTTCTGATCATAAGAACAATGCAAAATTGCCCATTTTCCTGTTAATTATGATGGTAGACTGAGAGTCTTCTGTTGCTGTTTTTGTGGAAAATGGTGAAAGTGTTTTGCTGTCTTAGGCAACTCTTTATACCACAAAATAACAAAAACTCTTAAGAACCTTAGCAGACTGTAAGCATCCATGGTAGAAGTCATCTTGCTATATGCTTGTGAATAGCGTGAGACCTGGGAATGTTAAATAAGTTTTACTGACCTCTTAAATAGTATTAAATGTGGAAGGAAAAAAAAAAATTTTTTTCTTCTTTTTTTCTTTCAGTTGACTCTTGCAGGAAATGTTTTGAAATACACTCAAATCACAGCTGAGAGCTGTATGAGTGTCAGCCGCTAGGTGGTAGAGCATTTCAAGAGTAATGGAGACTTTGAAAATTGATACAGGAGTGTTCTCAGGGCTGAACTTCTGGCTTTTCCAATCTGTGCCTTTTTTGCAGATACTTTACTTTTCGATGGGTTGTTCACTAAAATGATGCTTCGAAACAAACGTAGACGTCTGTTCTCTACGTTTTCATCAAAGTAATCATCAGTTAAATATAAAACTGCTTGTTAGTAAGGTGGAAGGGCTTCAGGGGAAAATTTTTTGATACATTTTAGCGGGAATCAACAAAAATTGTAAGAATTCCCTCAAAGTTTTTAAAATATGATCTACTGCATGTAACAAAATTATTGCATGCATGTTTATAATTGGTAGAGTGGCTTTAGAAAACAAAATTGAAAAACCTTGACACATTTGGTTCCTCAATAAAAGTGAAATAGCTTTTGTACCACATCTGAATAAATGGAAACCTAATACTTAAACAGAATGACCAGAACATTTTATAACCTTAAGCTTATGAAATTTTTATCGTTCTTTGAGGGTATGGGAGGAACTCAAATTGTAGCCAGACATATTTTCTTTTAGATGTTGGGAATTATGCCTTATTTGGAAAGCTAGAGTTGAGAATGGATAGGGATAAATGCCACAAATAACAAGTGTTGCTCAAGTAATATTTAAGTCTTCTTGTCTGTGAATAAACACACAGAAGTTAAGAGCTTATTGGGGCTGTTAGGAATCTTAATATACTTAATCTTTTTGTTACTGCAAGCAAACTGCTATAGTTCTGGCTTAAGACAATTAAAAAAACATTTATATGGCAGTATATGAAACCATAATATGCCTTTATATATTTTACAGACTTCTACTTGTAGGAGGCTGTGAAAGAGATGAAGATGGAGTATCTAAAGCAACTGGTTGTGGGATATCTGCTTGGAGAGTTCTGTCAGGCTCTCCCCATTATAAACAAGTTACTGGTTATGAAGATGACATTAGAACAGTAAGTATGTTTCCTCATTTTATTGGATGAATATTGTCACTGGCAGAATTATCTAACTGGAAGTTCAATATGAATCTCTTTTTTAAAGAAGAATTTAATGCAATGTTTTGCTGTTTTGTAAGCTATGATGTGAACTTCTAATAAGTTATCTCTCCCCTCCCATAGCTGTCTGTTTTTGCTTTTTCTGTAGTATGATTTGAACTTTCAAGTTCTTGATTACCACTTGTGGTTTAAAAAAAAAAAAAAGACAAATCAGAACAACGAGAAACAACAAAAACTAAAATGTAGTGTGGAAATAGACAAACTCCTTACTTGTGTACTGGGATATGTTACCTGTCTTTGTTGGAAAAATTCCAGTTATTTTTGTGTTTTTATTACTTCATAACAAAAGGCAGCACACCTGAAATAAATGTTTCAGTTTAAGTCTGACTATTGATTTCTTTTGCTTCTGGTAGAAGTAAACGTTTGATTTGGTAACAACTACCGTGTGGATATACTGAAATCAATTTACATTATACTAGGATAAATTCCAGTATTTACTCTTCTATAGGTATTACTTAGTACTAAAAGCGAGCTGTTAATTTCATTGCAAATGGGTAGGGCTTTTCTGTGGCATGATAAATACCTAGTGAAATGGGCAAAGTTATACAAAACGCGTTTTATTATCCTTGCATTATTTTAAAATAGGCAGTCTTAAGGAAGTTTAAAGAATGCTGTGGAGTTGTTTTAGTACTTTAGATATGACTTAGTTTTCGGTGCATAAAACAATGTATGAGATAGTCTTTCATTGTATGATATGTTTCTGTTCTTACAGGCACAGAGAAGAGGATTATTAAGGATTATGAATATAAGATTTTACAGCAGGCGGGGAACAGAACAGGTATTAAGGTCTAGGTCTACCTCAGAAATGTATTTTACTAACATAATTGTCCATTAATGACTGCCTGAGAGACTGATTGAAAGTAGTTTTTAATTTATGCAACTTAGGAATTAACATTTCTATAAAACTTATAAAAAATAATAAGCTTTTAGCATTAATTGGAGTAGCTTGCCATTTATTTGGCTTTTTTAAAAATCCAATTAGTTCATCTGCTGAAGCTTGAATCTTGGGTTTTCAGCATACTGACAGGAACAGGTCTAGAGATGTGGAGTTCGATATTAAATGTAAACTCTTATTCAAAAAGGAACTTGTAAAAAGCCACCTAGTTATTTGTTAATGAATGTAATGATCATAGCATGTTAGGTAGGTTATATATTCTAAAAGAAGAGAGTAGATTGTGACAATGTTTCTCAAGTATACCCTCAAGAGAAAAATAAGAGGAACTCCAAAACCCAGCCTTCTGCACAACCCTACTCCCACTAGAAAACAAACAAAAACCGCATCACCTTACAGCCCAAAATTTTCATACAATGTGGAGAAGAAAAAATGAGTGGATTCAAAGTAATCATTCATGGCTTAGGGCAGACACAAAGACTTAATTTTTACAGTCTGTTACGAGATACTATGGAAACATGTTGCTAAGTAGCTTCAAAGGTTTATTATGGGTCAAACTTCTACTACCAGGATGCATGCGAACCTAATGAAACTGCTGATCAGAATTAACTTGTCCTTAAAAAATGCTGGGTATGGGTCTTGTATTCGCCTCTCCCATGCATGAGTGAGTGTTAAATCTTGAGTGTCATGCTGAGGTGTAGGTGTGTGCTTTCTATGTTTCTAAGGCTTTGCACACAGTGGTTGTGGCTTTCTTCTACATGCCTTAGGAGCTACCCACGCAGTACTGCACCACCTTCTCCTATCCCTTGCCTACTAGTTGTGTGTAGCCTTTGTTTGATTCCTTTTTTTACTCCCCCCCCCCCCCCCCCTTGTGAAAAATTTGTTTTCCCTTCTTTTGTTTTATAAGGAAAGAACAGTAGAGAATCTGTCTACCACCCTCACTCTGTCCTCCTGAGAGGAAAAATGGCTGAAGTTATATGGACTTTGGAAATGACCTTAATAGATTTTTGGGATGTTTAGGTGACTAGTTAAAAGAAGAAATTGCATGCTTGATTGGAAGGGGAAAACAAATCTTTCTGAATCTCTCTCAAGGGTGGAATGGGGAGAGCTTTTATTTCCTTCACTGAAAATATAAAAGAGAAGGCTGAAGTAAACTTTTTTAACTGGAAGGCTAGTACTGGATGTAGCTGTATTAAACTTTAACTTCACTGCACTTGCCAGTACTAAATTTACGAAGAAAAGGAGATATTGTTACTCATCCTTGAATGTTTAATCTGATTTCAGGGGTTATGGTTTAAATATGTGAGGTGTAGTTTATATTCTTAGTGGGAAATTGGCAAGTGTTAAGTTATGACAGACACACCAACTAGAGGACTTGTATATTAGAACTAGCTATATTGGGATTTGATTCTTAGTGTTGCTAACCTAAATGATACTTATAAAATGTGAAGTGCCAACCTGCTGAAGTTTTCAGTATCTTTTTCTGCAGTTCCCTTAAGTTGACAAGCTGTTTACTGAGGCAGCATTGCCTGCTTTGCCAAGGACTGATTAACCTCCATAGATTACAATGCTCGGGTGGTAAATTTGAATGTGTTAGTGGCCGCCGAACACCTAAATTTAACAGCAACAGAATTGTTACTCACTACTGAGTAAATGTATAACCCTTGTTAATATCTGTGATGTATGCCACTGACCATTTATCTTAGTGGGTTATATGTTTTAGCTATATGTTTCTAAGTCCTTTAACAGTCTTCTGTTCTTTGTCCTCTGTGCATGCAACTTGATTTGTAAGGCAAGAATTGCCATTAGTAGGCATGTACAATTCCTTGGCAAACTATAGTAGAGATTGCAGTACTCTAACTGCTTAAGAATATAATCAGAGAATACTTAAGAATTATTTATATTAGAAAAAATTTCATAATTAGTTTAAAAAAACCTTAATAATGCTCTCCTTTTCAATTAAAAACACATTTTAAGCTTGGATTTAAGCAGTGCTCTCAGTAGCTGCAAACCACTGTACAACAGTGAGCAGATTGCTTGATCATCGTTGTTTCTGTGGCATAGCTACAATTTAAAACACCCTAAGAAATAAAATAAAAAGAATAAAAAAAGCAGCCAACCAAATAAACCCTAAAAGAATATTATCTTCAAATAATACCTACCACTAATGTGCTGTTGAAACTCCATTAAAACTTCTTAAACGTATGGATGTCTAGTAACTTTTCTGTACTTCATTTGTGTTGGGGTGTTTTCCAAGAGTGGAGGCGCTGGCTTAAAAATTAATTAGCAGCAGACTTGGACAGTTCTAACATTATTGTAGTATGAATCTTTATTAGGAAGTTTTTAAAAGCGAACTGCAGTAACAAAATGGGATTTTATAAACAGTATAAATTTTGGGAATCTACATCCTGCTGTCTTTCAGTGAAGACTAGACTCTGAGAACTTAATGATCTTTCTGAAAACATGGAAGTTGTGTCGGGGATGGGGGGAATAAATAGAAATTGTGTTTTCAGAAATTGTTATGCGTTGCCAGTGGCACTAAGTTTGAGTCTATATTTAGAGGCTCTTGTCTTATGGAAATAGTGTATAGATCCAGTGTGGGAGTTTGTGAATCCTTAAGGAAATATTTCGTTTGAAGTACATTTTCCTTCTTAAGATATCCAGAGCTGAAGGAAAACTTAATCCAGGAGAATTTTTGTAGCCTTGATGAAGTTTACTTACAGATGTTGAATCATTTCATCTGTATGGACTTAATCAATGTTTGCTATATTGCTGCTTAGTCTATTGTTACTCAAGAGATTGTTAAATTCAGATTCAGTGTCCTGAAATGGACAATGTGCTACTTCAAGATCTCTTCGTCTATGTATCTCTTGTATTCCCCCCCTTTTTTGTTGTGTTTTTTTTTTTTTTTTTTCAATTGTAATAAAGCTTACCCAAAAGTTTACTCCCTGGGAGGAAGAGCTGTACTAAGCTGTGTTTGGGTAACAGTCTTCCTTGGGTGGACCTGAGAGGCAGGACGATAGAAAACTGAGGTTGCTGAATGTTTTCTCTGAACAGATGGTTTGAGAACAACCTGCAGGTCTTCCTCCACATAGCTCTGCATTGCTGTCTGCGCCCTTCTCCTAGGAATGGCACACTTCAAGATTTTATTTGCTGTATGACAATGTGATAGAGAAGTTGACATTCTTAAAGATTTGTTAGTGTTATGGTAGTGTTCTTTATACAGGTTGCTTTTACTCTTCCATGCCACAATTGATATTTTACCTTTATTCTGACTTTTAGCAAAGTGTTTTTGTTTTGTGGGGTTTTTTTTTTTTTTTTAAATTTAAAGCATGTTAAATTTTCTGGATGGAAGATAGTACAATTTTTTTTCCTAAAATATAAAAAATAGTTTGGGCTTTTTTGGGAGGTCTTTTTGGTATGCTTTGATGTGTGTGGGGATTTTTTTGCTTGTTTGTTTGGGGATTTTTTAATTTGCTGACATAATGTTTGGCAGGATGGAGTTTTCAAGATGAATCTTTCTCCTGATGGAGCTCTTCTGGCAGCTATTCATTTCTCAGGAAAACTGACAATCTGGTCTATTCCATCTCTTAGACAACAAGGAGAATGGGACCAAACTGATCAGGTAAGAAGGATGTAGATGTTTAGAAATTTGCAGTATATGTTTTAATCCTCTGGAGATATGTTTTCCTAGGAGATGAGAGTAGTTCAGATAACTGTGCTTTAGCTACATACTGTTTTTCCAGTCAACTCCATATTTTTCAAGAGCCCTATATTAACATTTATAATAGTCTTTCTGTGTTTTAACTATAACCCTTACACTTAAAAAATTAAGAAAAAGAACCAGTTGTGTTGGAATTTTTCATGAGGTGTTCTGGTGCCAAGTAAGTAACACTGGTAGAGGTAGACTGAAACGTTATTTTTAAAATATAAGTGGAGGCCAGCACAGGTAACTTTGTTTGAATGGTTGAAACGAAATTCTGCTGGATGTTTAATGTGCTCTTCTATTCCTCCCTCAAAATTTACCTTACTTTCTGCCAAATAACACTCTAGAATAGTTTGTTCATCAGATTGATATTAGTAAGTCAAATGCTTTCTACAGGAATTGTTTGCAAAACTGAGTTGGGGAACTTAAGTTAGAAATTGCCCAGACACTGGCAAACTTTTACATGACTAGTGTGAATTTAAACACTGGAAACTGAAAACTAATCAGTTTTCAAAGAAAATTCCAAATAACTAATACACTCTCTGGATAAAGATAACACTTTATTTTAATGAGGAAAATATGTCTGCATTTTGAAAATTGACAAATCTGAAATGATGTACGCTAGTATGTGAAGCATTCTGGTTTTATTCCCATTAATTTCTTGACTAATAGGTATGGAAGGGCTTTTCACTTTAAGTACCATGTGTTATGTTCTAAACTTACAAGACATGAACTGACATCAAGCCCAAATAGGGTAATCAGTCAAACGGGATCTTTGGCCACTAGACATAAATGGCACAAATTACCACTGTTTCCTACACAGTATTGATCTCAGGTGGTTTTATTGTATGTAAGTGTGTTTCTTATTAGAAAATTATTGTAGGATGAATATTTGCTGCTTAATAGTAAACAACTATGTTTTAGTGCATGTGCTGATTAGTAAATTCACATGTTATCATGAAATATTTGCAGTTTCTGATTCGTCTCTGTAATTTTCTTTTGCATGGTAAATCTTTGTACAGTGTATTGATTCCTTTAGAAATTCCAATACAAAAATATTTCCTCCAGTTTTTGTAGAATGTTATAAATTCTTCAAGTTTATGTATTCATATGAAACACAGACAGCTTTTCCCCTACGCTACATTGAATTTCTCCTCGGTCTATGCATTGCACAGTAGGCAGCATAAGGTCTACAGCAAAACATTTCCTGATATTATATATAGGCATAGGTCACTATAATGAGGAAGAGGACAAAATGAAGGCAGATGTCTTCCTTTGGGTATCATAATGACAATGAGGTTAAATGAATGTTTTCTGGAAAAATTACAGAAAAAGATAGGCCAAAAATTTTGACTGTAGGAAAGAGAAATCAATAAATACCTGTAGAGATAGTGGTATGTTCATCCGGGGAACTACAGGCCGCTGAGGCTGACCTCGGTGCCAGGGAAGATTAT